CCTCTTATGTGATTACCATGAGCCTGTCAGCAGCTCCAGTTTATTTCTTTATTTGATTGCATATATATGCTGCAATAGACTGGCGACCTGTACAGGGTGTACCCCGCCTTTCGCCCAATGACAGCTGGAGATAGGCACCAGCACCCCTCCTGACCCCGCTTGGGATAAGCATGACGGAAAACAGATGGATGGATTACATATATGTGCAATCACAAAACTGTTCCTGTGGAGGGAAATGTATTATTCTGCAGTAATTCTCAGAAAACCTTTAAAGGAAAATCCTCCCAAAGGAAGCTGGATGGAATGGATTCATGTTTCTAGAAAATGCTCATTCCCTGACTGTTTTTTTGTTCTCAGAACAGCCTTTGTCTCCTTTAGTATAAGCCTCAGCATCCATCAGAGGGACAGCATTAAAGAGTAATTCTGACTTGGAAAGCTGAAGGAGGTGGAGAAGCTCAGAGCTCAGGGTCCTTCATGGCTGCCACTTTTATGAGATGCAGTGAGAGTCACCTGTATGAACTTTTTATCAGCACTTCTGGTATTTTTTTTCTCAGTAATGAAGCAGCACAGAGAACTGTTCCACTGTATTTGGAAACATGTTCATTTACTCTTTGATCAATACAATAGACAGAAACCCATTATTTTCCTGTACTGGTAGCAGCAGTTGGCACCACAATCATTAGCTCCTGCTGGTTTCTCCGTTATCTTTATGCTGCTTTCAGGTCGTCTCGAAAATTGGAGCTTCAATCTAGGAACTAGTCTGATTTGCTAACTTAGATGTTGCTTACCACTGTTAGTTTGTAGAAGACGATATGCAGGTAATCTCAAAATTATTCATACTGGAGAAAGTTTTAGTTTTCCCAGCAATGAAGTTTCCAACTTCAATGCTCATTGCAAAGGATGGATTTTGATAAACACTTGTTTAACCAAGCCAAAACCAATTAAGATTAGAAATCATTTTGAACATAGTATTTGTTTAAATATTTTGTAAATTTGAATGTTTTAAAACAAACTTTTTTTTATTATTATTATTTGTACATAGATGCCTGTCTCTTTAAAAAGTAATATGTTTTTACCTAATTCAGAAACTCTACAAGTCTTTCTAAAAAGTTTTTTTTTTTTTGACAAGCTGCACAGATTTGCAAACATGTGACATACAAGTTTATACGTCAGTTTGAAAACCTGTAATATGTGATCTAATCTTATATAAAGCGTTTCTTTACTAGCTTCACAATCCAGTGAAATTTAAATACGCAGTTTTAAGTCTTTCCTTATTCCTTTGTTGTCACCAAACTATTCCAATCCTCTCATCTTTTAACTTAGATCTTCAGGTGTTTTATTCTTTAGATGTTAATTTGTTTAGTTTATACTTGATCAGTAGATTTCCCTGGGGAACAGAACATTTATAAAATGAAAACAATGAATTTGAGAAACCCGTGATCAAATGATAAGTTCATAACTGCAGATGCTATTGTGCTTTTTATGTGTGCTTGTTACACTTGACACTGAACCCAAGGCATCTAGTCCTTCTAGTCAGATCTGACTTCATGAAGGGGAATCCTGAGAAAAAAATCTAGAAATTAAACAATGTCAGGATTTTCCAGCAGAGCAGCACTAAAGCCTCATTAATGCAAATGTTTACAGTATAATGTTTTGTTTTAGATACTGACCAGTTGTAATAAACAGATATGTCATCCTAAATAGTTATTTATCTCTTACCGGTAGTTTGTTGAAATCTTTCATTGTTTAATACATTTTGCTTTATCTAGTTATTTTTCTTAGGAAATGATTACCGACTACTTTATCTGCAATTTCTGAACACTATAACTATGCAATGAAAAAACATGTTCTAATTTAAACTAATCGAGTTTGGAACATAAGAATGACTGTAAAGAGTAAATATGTATTATTGCAAAGAGGTCTTTTAATCTAAGATTAAACAAAAATAGATTTCCTATCTTCATCGAATCCAGGACATTGGTGCACTAAAGTAATTTAAAATATGTATATATCTATGCAAACTGCCACCTGGACTGAAGGGCACCAAGAGTTATTAACCCTCATGGATTATCTGTTGTTAAAAATGTAAAGGCAAAATAAGAAAGAATTTAAAAAAGAAACATGCAAAAGGTAATTTTCTTTAAGAAAACAGCAACAAAAAGAAATGGTATAGCTTTTAAAATCCTGCTTTCTGAAGAATCCTTTCCTCAACTCCCAGCAGTGAACCTCTTAAACGATTTAATCTGCAGGTGCCTGAAAATATCTTTTTAACAAAATTATGCAACAACAACAAAAAAAGAAATCCCTTTTCTGGGAAAAACAAAAAAACGAATGCTTGTTCGGGATGAACAGAGGGCTTTTTTAAGGACAGACAGGCGAGTGAGGGATTACTATCCCCTATCAGAGGGCCAATGGTGGAGAGAGAAATAATCCACAAACTGCAGAAGAAAGACCCAGATAAAGTGGAAATGTTGAGAAGGGAACAGCAGAAAAATAAGGCCTGTAATATGAAGTATTAAAAAGAAGGGAGGCTAAAGGTAGAAAAGAATTAAAAGAAGGCAGTAGGTAGTTTTTTGAAGGCATTATGTGTCTCGCTCTCAGCATTAGTAAATCTACCAGTATTAATGGTGTTTGTCTCCTGAGGGGGTTTACTGTGAAGTTTAGCACCACTGGAAAGAGGTGCTGACAGATAACCAATAACAAGCTCTGACTGATGCTCAAAGTTGCACACAAAGCCGAGAAAGGCTGCTGACAAAACACTGGAAAATAATCCTCTGACAGATCAACTGAGTTCAACTGCACATGTGAACAGCAGTAAACATCATAAACCTGTGTTTCAAAAACAGGTAAAGTTTGTTCCTTCCATGCTGCAACACAGAGACAAAAAACGAATGAAGTTTGATGTAGAGACGGGGTTGAGACAAAGGAAGTAATCTCACACTAAATGAATATTTGATGAGAAGGCTGATATGCTCCAATGAAACATCATGAATACACAGCAGTGTTAATGTGGAGGCAGGTTAACACGCTCAGGCCTGGCTGTCTGCCGTCATCGCCAAAAACATCTGAACTTAGAGCTTTCACATTTTTACATAAGATACACTGCTGTAATAAGTGATGTCATAGTCCAGAACAGAGGTCTTCAACATGGGGTCCGTGATTCCTCAGGGGTCCACAGAGGTACAGTACTGCATGGGGGTCAAGAAAGTTTTGGTTGATTAGACTTTTTTATATATATATATATATATATTCCTCCCTGCCATTCTTTCCACTAATTGAAATGTCTTTAAATCCACATTAACATCAATTCAACACACTTTAGTAAACAAAGAAATGGAGGCAGAAGGTGTCTTTCAGTCATCAATGCATGATTCAGAGTCTCTGGTTCAAGCAGCATGTCAACTTATATGTGTGATATAGAAAATAATCTAAAACAGGCAATTTTAACAACATTTGTTTTTCAGAGATGTTAAAGCTATTCCTTGTTTAAATGCAATTTAAACCAATTTAAAAACTTTTTTTTAAATGTTAAAGGTATGCTTCTAATATTTTAAGATAATTAATAATTCTTTCCTTTAACACTGTATCATTTAAGTGTTTTGCGGCTGGGCCAAATATTGACTTTTTTTCAAATTAATATCAACACCTTAAGCTGTAGTTTACAGCTGGGTGACAGAGCATAGAGGACTGAGGATAGACTTAAATCTGTCTATATGGGAGTAACCACTGCTGTGTAGGATCAGTCCCCATGGGTCCTTGTAAAGCAAGAATTGGCACAACTTTCAAAGTTTGAACTGAATTAAATTCAAGCTCTCTCATCATTAGTTCTATATTTTAGCCATACCAGCAACTGTTTTGGTCAATATTCTGATCTGTTTCACACAGTTCCTTATACAAGTTAATCTTCACCCTATCTTGTCTTCATTCTGCTATATCTGTGTTAATTTTGCTTTGGTGCTCGCTATGTCCATAAAATGAACTTTGTGGTTGAAATGTGGATAATCTAAGCTTTCTAGCAAAGTTTTTACATGTCTATATTGGTAACATTTTTACCTTTTTTCATGTTTTCTGAGTTGTTAGTTGTAAACGCTTTAAAAACGGTCCCCAGCAACCGGGTGGATTTTTGAGGGTTAAGCCAGTATGCAAAGAAAATCCTTTTGGGACAGCTGAACTTTTACAGTTTGATGTTGGACACATTAGTCATACAAACCAGGTGTACATTTACATTTTTCATATTCTATTACCAAACAGATTTGTTGTTCTGTTGAATTATAATGAATGAATGTTAAAGGTTGAAAAACTAGAACTTTTGTAATTATCTCTTTATTTACATCTGATTCAAAAATACTTTATTAATCCCAAAGGAAAATGTAATTTAGCAGGGATGCATACTTTGGAATTAAATCTATTACTGCTATAAAGATCATACTAGTAAATCCCTTTTAGTATTTAAAAGATTTTCAAAAGAAAAAGCTTTGAATAGCTTTAAATTTAAACATTTCTTTTCTGAGTTTAGTTTCATGAAATTTACATATTGGTTGCTTTTGTTTTAAGAAAGTTGCATAAACCATCACTTTTAAAGCACTGCGCCTAAATAAAAGCAGTAAATAAATAAAAGGTGGAGAGAAACACAACTTCACCTCAAGACGAGCCTCACATCCTATAGTTGTCCAACAGTCAAACTCAAATGCTCAAAGACAAAAACCTTCATTTCCAGACATCATTAATCAAGCTAAAACACGTCGTTCAGTCCAGCAGTAAACGTGACTGAAACTGTGCAAGGCCAGGCTGAGCGTGTGTAGACAGAGGCCAGGTCAAAGGTCATGCATCTATCAGATGATCACAAATCAAGTAGGTTAAGAATCTTTATTTTGTTTTTTAAAAACATAAATACAGCTACAGGAGTTAGAGATGACAGACCTCACAATGGATAAAATTGCATAAGTATAGGTTTTCAACTTAAAAAAAAAAAACATTTTAATGAGTTTAAATCAGTTTTCAAGGTCTTAATTCGTGCCAAACACACACCACACACATAATGACAGAGTAGTGTCCCCTCCTGAGCAGAAAGCCAACCTCCAACACTTCCCGATTAGTTTGCTAATATGAAGAGAAATGAATGTAACAGGAGACATTTCTCATTAGCTATAGTCGGTTTTTAATCACTTCATGGCATCCTTAATGTAATCACTTACTTGTTCTGCGCTTTATCATAAAGAAAAATAGAAAATCAGAAACAAGAGAGTTTGTTTGTATTTTTACATTCACTCATCAGGAATCCAGATGTAAAGGCAAATTCTGAAATTCATGAAGAGTCAAAATGGCTCAGAGTCACCATCACCACAACTTAGGAAAAATACAGAGAGCCTAAAATGTTCCTTCACTAAATCATGAACTGGGATTAATGGAACACCAGAAGAAATACTTTGTTCCGCTGTCAGGTAACAGTCCAGCCAGCATGGCTGATTGTGGTCAGGCATGTAGACGACCGCAGAGGAAGGAGGGGAGGTCTGCAGAGAGTTTAGATTGGCGACTGTTGCTCAGTCGATGTGGGGTCCGTCTCTGCAGGGTGGTTCCTCCGCTCAGTTCTTGGACAAAGTCTGGAAATGGAAAGAACCATGGAGGACTGGTCTATCGTGGGTGTAATCAGTTTGTTTGAAGATGAATCTGAAGGCTCAGGAGATGGTGGAGAACTCTTTAAGCAGCACGTCCTGACTGAGCGAGTTCAGAGAGACGTTCTTCCTCACGTTCAGACTGATGGAGCGCACCTGCAGACAGACACATCCATTATCAGACTGTGTTCACGCAGAAAACACAAACCCAAAGAGCTGACAATGAATCAGGACACATCCACTGCTGCTGAGGTGACACCACTTTACAAGCACATTATTTTACTGAGAATGACTCGCTTCTGCTAACACACACATTATAATCTGTGGGTAAGAACAGAGAAATGAAGAATTCATCATGATAGTTTCTCCTTTCTTTTACCTCTTAATTCTGCACAAAAAAATATTTGCTTTCCCAACATTGTAAGATGAGCTCACAGTTTCTACACATTTATCAAGTAATAATCAAATCATTTATCCACTTACGACCATCTTATTTTGTGGTCTTATACCCCATTTACACTACCCTTGAAAAACCGCGCCGAGACCGATCCGAGCTCAGTAAC